AAATTCCTCAGCTTTTCAAAACATATACATATACATAAATGTGGATACCCAAAAGTGGATACGCTTAATGTGGTTACATCAGATTGTAGATGCACTAAGAATGGATACTCCATAAACTATTGCTGCATAGGATATTGTGACGTAAAACTCTCGATACCCAGTGTAAAGGTATTATGACATCTATGGAAATCTTACATTAAGTCTTAGAATAAGACGCGTGAAAGATCTTACTATTTCGTACGATTTGTAATAACCTTAGAGTCATATCGTTCGATACAGTAAGATCTTTCAAGAATCTGATGTTACAACTTGATGTAAGATTTCAGAAACTACGATTTTGGTACGATTTTTGTCGGATCCTACACTATCATATAAGATCAGATGCAGAATCTTATCAGATCTTAACATCCGGCTGTTTACCCTGGGTAGTTACAAAGTCAATTATTTGTATTTTATTGAGAATTCGACTTTTTGTTTTGGAAATTCGAATGCCATCTAATTGTCGTTGTATTTCAATTGAATATATATATCAGTCTTTTTTTATCCGTTTCTAGTATTATTGTACTCAAGAGCAAAACCAAAATATCAGCTTCCTTGTATTTAACATAATGAACTGATGAAAACTATACTATTAGAAAATTTCGAAAAATTTTCAATGTTTTGCACATTTATCATGAGTGAGTGGACGCTTATTCTTAAACATAAGATTGACTTCTTCTTCTCAATTTGGATACAAATATGAACACCTACACCTTGTCTGAATTATTTATTTGAAGTTGAATTCAAAAAAGAAATATAAATATTTTTTATTAGTTTTAATCTGTGGCACATTTAACAGTAACGCTGAGTGGCAATGCTATGATATGTTTTTCTTCCAAAGATGATTTTGCGAACAAAGAGGCTTTGATGAAAGCTGTGACGAAGAGTATTGAATTGAAATATCACGTTGTCAGGCTTTTTATAGAAATTCTTATTTTTTTGTGAAAGGAGCAACACAAACTGAAGCAAGACATCATCTGTTTATAACAAAATTTGAAGAGAGACTACATTGAGAATAGTTGCATTCGGGACGAAACTTAAGCAGACTCCGGCAAGGAACTTTAACATCTTCTCAAAAAGTTCTTAGTTTGGTCTTTTTTATGAAGAAAAGCCTATCGGAATGAACTAATTATTTTATATGATGTTGAATGAACAGTAGCTAGAATCAAATTATATAAATCCGATATATATTTTTCAATAATAATGCGTTGCCATCGCACTTTGATTATCAAGAAAAAATTTGGGAGAGCTTTTAACATGGTGATGTTTGATACGTCAACTGTGGACTAATTCAAACTTGGCATGGCTTCAATATCAGTTTAGACTGGTTGTGACTGATCAAATTTCATTGTAATAATTTTCTTCGAACGATTTACTTCACCAGTCAACTAAAAATCTCTGATATCTACAGTGTTCGTTTTGTTTAGGATGGCTCATCACAAACAGTATGGCTGCTGGGCAACAGAGTCACACAGTATCGACATTAGCCAGTGGAAAAATCTTAGTTGCTGGGGGATACTACTATGATGGATCAAGTTATTGCGCATATTTTAATACTTCAGAGCTCTACAAGTCATCAACCGGATTCTGGACAAAGACTGGTAATATGACCATGGGACGAACTGGGCATATTATTACTTTATTCTCAAATGGAAAAGTCTTGGTTATTTGTGGATATATTTATGATATTTATTATAATTCTAGAATGGTGAATAACTCTGGACAAAAAAACGTTAACATGAGTACTGAACGATATTTACACACAAACACACTATGGATGAATGGAAAAGTCTTGGTTGCAGGAGGATATGGTGGAAATGAATATAACTGCTGGGGACTTTTAAATAGTGCAGAAATATACGATCCATCAGCAGGAATCTGGACAAAAGGAGATAATATGACCATGTCGCGCATCGCTCACACAGCTTCTCTCTTGTCGAACGAAAAAGTCTTAGTTATTGGAGGAACCGGTTATAATGGCACTTTGAATAGCGCCGAATTATATTCGTGATGTTTATCAAGCTGAAATATTTCTTATTTGACTCTGACCTAAAACTCTCTCATGCAACTTTTGAATTCTGATCTTTAAAGAAAAGGTGCCGAATATGCTCTTGAAACGCTTTTGAAAAACCAATGTGCAAAGCCCCGGTAATGCTGCGAAGGAAATACAATCGATACTTATATTATTATCATCTATTTCATATAAGCCATCGACTACTCCTGACAACTTTCTAAAGCGCATCGATGTAAATTTCTTGCCTTTTATGATACACCACGAAGGTATAATTATATCAACATGGTTAGACGAAAAATCAATAGAAATTGGCGATTGAACGTAGTCTCAATGTGCATCCGCATCAATCTTCAAACTGAAGTTGTTATGTATCAGTTCAACTAGCTAGAAAATATCCAATGCTTTACAAGTTGATTTATTTTAAAACAGAATTCTTTTGTATTAAACCAAAGTCTAATAGAAAATATTATCGGAACAGTGAAATATGTGTAACTATACATTAGAATTGTCTGATATATTTCAATAATACAGATACGTACGTAGTATACTAATTGAATGTGTAAATAGCACAACTAAAGGTAATGAACATTCTTTTAATTTGCAGTTGAAGGTTGAAAAGAGATTCTCAATCGAATATAATCATTCGAAACAGCATTCACATGGTAACGCACAATATTAAAATCTTCGCTGTGTGCAGTTAAACAAAAGAGCAAGGAGAAGAACTTCTTATCTAGTTTTTCATGAAATCACCGCTTTCAAACTCATATCAGCTGAACTGTGAAAAGAAATTAATTAATTGTTTGTATGGATGCCCGTGTCGAACAGTCACGGCTGAGCATAGTATCTGATCATGAGTTCGCTGCAGCCATTGAGTATACAGCTCTTTGTTTTTGACTTGACTACAAATAGAATGCTAAACAATTTTTCAAAGAACATTTAATCGATCTTATGTAGATAACACAAAACAAAAGTTAAACACTATTTTCTTTAATCAAAACCTTTTCTTTTTCAAATAAAACCAAATAATCTTTCTATCTAAGCATTTATTCATTTGGAAAATAGTTTCTTTCTATTCACTAGAAAACGAATACTTTTTTCAATTTCTTTCATTGTAGTCGAATCAATTTATTTTCATTTTTCATTTTATCTATCATAACCAATTATTAATTTTTACTACGATAAAGTATTTTAAGGCGCTTTGCCGAATCAATCATCCCAGGGTCTATTGGATACACTATTTGACGGAAATTGTATAAAACGCAGCAACTTTCTGTTTTTCCCAAAGAAAAAACACATTGATACAACCTATCAGATTTCTCAAAGGCTGTGTCCAATGAAGCTCAGCTGTTGATATTAAATTGCTTGTTTCAGAGGGCGTATTTCTCCTGCAATAAGGTAGACCGCTCTCAATTCCTTTTTATTTTTGCTCTTCAGGCATATTTAATTTCGAGAAAAAATCGACTTATAAGTGTATATTTGGTTGATCATTTTCATATATATATTTCTAATTTATACACATACATATACACAAAAGGTGTGAGGCAAGAACAAATTCAAAACTATACCACCGGAAAAAAAATAAAATAGCGAAAATTATGAAAAATGAAAATAATAATTAACACAAAAAACATCTACGAATCACTTGATCTGAGTGCCTAATCAGTAACATATGTAGCAGAACCACAATGTTGTTCAAGAAATAATTCTAATTGTTCATGTATAAGTGATGCTGGATTTGAATTCCATTCATATATATCTGATGTTTGATATAATCCTGCTATTTTTTCTCGCACTTTTATTGATGTTATTTGATGATTTAGATCATTATTAATAAGTATAATAAAACATTTGAGTGTTAAACATGTTGATAGAATTTTCATATAATCATGTATTAAATTATAGGGTTTGCGTAAAATTAACAGTGTTACACATGAATTCGCCATTAACCAATCAAGTTCACCTAACATTCTATCACGATGTATAAAGTAAAAGCTAAAACGTTGTCCGTACATATTTTCAAGTTGTTGGCCAATAGTATCATTTATGTATTCACTATCATTGATTGAATAAAGTACTAGAACGTCCAGTTTTATTTGTAAACACGACTGTGTCGTTTTTAGTGACGAAGAACAGGGATTTTTCGAAGAACGAATTGTAAGCGATGTTGATGTTGTTGATGAATGAGAAATCGGACGATTTAAAATAAAACTCCTTGGTGGTGGCAGTGGTGGAACAACAGAGGGAAAACGATTATCCGAACTTGAATCTGTTTGAGATATGGTTAATGGAATCGATGCATAATCATCTTCATCAGTATATGAAAGAGAATTGTCATTTTCTTGATGATTATACGTCGGGTTAGAATTCAAATCTTAAATAGAATGAATTTTTATCAAATGAAAATTTAGGAAAAATTCTGATGTTCACCTTTTTTACGACTACACTTAACTTGTTTGTTTATATCACTATTAGATAAATATTTTTGTTTCAAAAATAGCAGACGTTTTTTACGATAAATGCATACTGTTATAATACATGTTAGCACGAATAGAATTAGAATAGCAATGAGAATGATATATTTTTCATGAATTCGTTTTGTTAAAAAGTAATTTGATTTTGTAGAACTAATTTCATGCGCATGATTATCAGTATTGATGATGATATTCGATGTCGGTATTTGGCATGACTCACTAGTTGAATACTTACAACAATCCATAGCTGTGAGCGGTCTTTCGATAGGAAACAGTGAAGATGTTGTTGGTCGAGTACATGATAAACTATTTGCATATGTTAAGAAATTCAAACGAATATTCGATTGAAATTCTACATTATCTTTATAAAATTTAGGTATCCATAAATTATTATGTAAATACAATTTTTTAAGATTAATCATATTTGAAAATGTTTTTGCTTGGATATTTTCAATACGATTTGATGATAAATCTAAATGTTCCATTTTCATCATTGTTGAAAAATCATAATTCGATAAATATTCTAAATAATTATTTGCTAATGAAAGATATTTTAAATTGATTAAATGTGTTATATTGTTTTCAATCGATTTAATTTGATTATTATTTAAAAATAGATGCGTGGTAGAATATGGAATACGTAAAGGTATTTGGTTCAATTGACGATGAGAACAATTAACGTAATTATTTGTTAAGTCATAGGAACGCTGACATGAACATTCGATTGGACATTGCATGTAACAGTCACAATTTAATTTCGAAATTGAGGGTGAAGAACAGCAAGAGCATGTTGACGGGCAATATTTTCTGTATGAACAAAAACTATTCGATGAATTAAGGTTGAATAAAGATCGGTGAGTTGAAGGATCAATTGTATTGATACATGTTAAATTCGAAAGGTGTAAGAATCTAATATGAGTTTGTCGAGCAAAGGTATTCGTCGAAAAGGTTTGTTGTATAAGATTATATTGACGACGATATCGAGCGTAATGATTTGAATCCGATGAATATGAAGCTGTTGGTAGTTTTTGTTGAAGTGATGGAGATACTTAAAAACAAGTAAAAAGATTAGTATAAGTAATATGGAACGAACAAACTTATTTTTCAAGTCTCGTACACAAAATAATGTCGTTAATAATTAGTATTACATGCTTTGTTGTGATAGCTGAAGCCTAAGTAAGTATTCGTGTAGCCTCGTCTATGACAGTTTACGTGAAAGAAGTAGGCATAAACAAGTGTTGAATCCAAAAGCGTCAGTTTGATTTTGATTGTAAAAATTTTATAGTCAATCAAGAAGCGTAGATGAAAATAAGTTAAAAATGAGGATATGCTCTAAACTCTATAGATAGTAGACTAAATGATTCGAATGTCAGAGTTCTGCCGAAATACCAAAGAAAAAATTAGAATATTTTCCCGAATTCGAGTATCAAGCCGGAGTTCACATATTGGGTGTCTAGCTAAGTAGCTGTTAGCATGTTCTTTCACAATAAAACCAGCTCAATTATATTTTAATTTTATATAATTGACGTGAAAAAATATCTCGACATATTTAAGTCTTACTAATCTGTACTAGATTACATCTACTTACAATTAGAAATAGTTTGCTGTTTGTACGACGGACTATTTTTAAATAAATTCAAAATAGTTTCGTATAAATTACAGTCACATTCCAATGGATTATTATTAACATCTAATTCAATAAATGGTCCGCGACGTTTTGTATCATTTAGTAATATTGATGGAAAATATAATGTTTTTAAACGATTATGATTCATGTTAATTGTTAGAATATATTTATCTTGTGCCGATGGAGATAGAAAAATGTCAAAAACCATTTTTTCGAAATTATTCTGTGAAAGATCAACATACAGAACAGGTAAATGATGATCTAAACTTTCAATACTATGCGCATCATAGGGTGTTGGTAAATTCGGAAATGTATCTAAATGATTTCCTGAAATATTTAATTGTCGCAGTTTTTGCAGCGGTACAAATAAATCATCGAACGATAATGTTGGTAATGAATAACTTAAATCAAGTATTTCTAAATATGGTATACGTGTAAATGTATCTTGTTGTATTTCTAGTGGTGAATTATAACTTAAATTTAGTATATTTAATGAATATAATGATTTAAATGAATAATAATCTAATGATTTAATAAGATTTTTTGATAAATCTAAATAACGTATTGTTGAAGGAAATTTATTTGATATCGTTGCCAATTGATTATCGGATAGAATCATAGTTGATAAATCTGGAACAGTGATTTGAGAGAAAATTTTATTTAATTGTTTATCATTTAATTTTGTTGAAGCTAAGTTAAGATAGGAGAGATGTGGAAATAAGCCTATTAAATTAAAGTCTTTTGTTTGTGTTATAGTTAAATGTGTTAATGAAATAATAGAATTGATATCAAATGGTTTTATTAAAAATTGAACTGAATTTAAAATTAAAATTTTCGTTGAAATTAAATTGAAATTATTTATATCAAAAGTTGTATTATAAAAAGTTAATTTTTCTGATAAATAATTACGATTTTCTATTAAGGAATTAGTAAAACGTAATGATGATATTTGTGATAAACATTTTGGTATTTGATTTGACGAAAAATTAAATATTAAATTAAAAAATGTTATTTGTGTAAAATTTTTTATTACACATAATTGTTCATATTTGGTTATATCATGATTAAAATTGTGAAATTCAATTTGATTTTCCGTTTGTGAATATATTGCAGTTATTTCATCGAGTTTTAAACGTAATAATTCTTCGTTGGGATTATTCATACAAATATATGATGACGTTAATGAACATAGATTAGAAGTTAAATATATCGATGGTAATGATAGACATTTACATACATCACATTTTAATATACGTTCATTTGAATCGATATATTGACATGGATATAAAAGTGTTGTGATGACGGTAAAAAGTTGAAAATAAATGTAAAGTTGAATAGAATTCATTCTAGAAATAGAAAGTTTCTTTTTTTATGATGATTACGTTTCGATAGTCCCTTTTTTGCTTGTGCTCGATATGTATAGAAATGATAAGGATTCTTTTTTTCTCTTCGTGTATTTATGATTGCGTAAACAGATGAACAGTGTCATGAGCATAGAATTTTCTCATGTATAGTAATGAGCAGATACTTTTTGATTCGGATTTCATCAGGAACAAATACTTAATGGACCGAAAAATTGTCTCAAGCATGTATTACTTACTCTAATATATATTTATTTGTATAAGTGAGACACAGAGAGAAAGCTGGTAAACGGTAGATTGATTAATAGAGCGAATACTAGATCGATGAACAATAGGTCTGAAAAGAGAACTCTAATTTATAAAGTGAGTAAACGAATGGGAGGGTAGGAAAGAAACAGAGAGAGAGAGAGAGAGAATATCTGATGTATCCACAGTTAGTTTATTGACTCAACTAAATGAGAAGGGACTGTTCAGCTACAGGCTAGAAAATGAGAGACAGAAAGAATAATGCATGGCATCGCGTCTCCCCCTTTCTCTCTCTCTCTCTCTACGTTATACATATATATGTGTGTATGTGTATATCAAACATACGCAAGCAGACAATGGTAAATGTACACTATTCTATGAGTAGTGTTTTATAGAAAAATAATGATTGTGTCAGTCAGCGAGAGAAAAAACTTGTACAAAATGAAATACTATAAACGAATTTTTGTTTCGACTATTCAATTTAGATATGGCTGATGTTAATGACGAGCATTCTGCGATTAGGCAAAATATGACAAATCAATATGTCGCACAAATAACTTCGTATTCTTTTAATATTTAGAAGGTCTTAATATAAATAGTCCAGTGATGCATTAATCATTCGATCAGTTTGTCTCATTTGACGTTGAATTTGGTATTCAAAAAAAAAAAGCTTAAATGAAGTGAAAACAAACTAAAAACATGATATGATTTAATAAATCTGAATATATATATATATATACTCTCAAATATGAGCATTCAACAAAACTATAAAGAGAGTAGAAACAACCTGAACTATATCAAGGTTATTGCATACATGAATAATATATCTATGGTGAACATATGCATAAAAAAATGTTACGTAAAATCTAGTACTATCGCCAGCCGTTGAGAGCGAATAAGTATGTTTATCTCTTCAACTGATGGCTATAGAATAGTACTGTTGTCGTAATAGGTAAATGAAAGATTAAGATAGTATATATATATATATATATATATACACATACATGTGAGTTACGATGAAAAGTCAAAGTCAATTGTACATTTGAACTCGTAGTCTTAAAGAGATCAATCATCAATCATCAGATAAATGAAGAAGAAGAAGAAGAAGAAGAAGAGAAAAAACGACGAAGCACCTGCAGACATGCTTGACATTGAGACTACTTATTGTATAGGCGACAAAATCTTCTCATTTTTGTCGATGTCTCAAAACAAATATGATATACAAGGGGAAAAGTGAATTACGGTCACATCTAGACTTACATATCTTACGTCAATAATATAAATGAGAATAAAAAACATGAAGAATAGACAATCACTTGTTCACACATTTTCAAGGTTTTATTTGTTAAAACAATTGAAAACAAAGAAGAAGACAAAAGATGTTCAATCTAATGAGAATATTATTCGAAATCTAAGTGAATATACTATGATTGCCTGATAGGAATGAATGAAAGATGCTCTTCAGACATATTTAAAAAGCACTTACGAGCTTCGCTGTTTTTTTTTTTGACAGAAGAATATATGAATTGACGATAGCTACTAATTTGTTAAAAGATGTTTACCATAGGTGTTGATATGGAATAAACATTAGAACAGGTGTACAAGAGAATATAGTAAGTGAACACTATAATCAATCGATTTGCTGCCGACACCGCTCCGTTGACCACATTTACCTTTGAGTGCTATACGTTTTTTTCTTTTATTCTGTCTCCACATCTTTTTCCGCTTACTATGTTTAACTTATTAAAATATTTTCTTTTCCGTGTTTTATCGTTTCTAACATATATTAATAGTGCACACAGACCAAGGAAATGAACAAGAATAACACTGAACGATGTCATTAGTTTAATTCAAGGCTGTCTTTTTTTCTCGGCAAACACGTTCCTCTATGTTAAATCATTCATGAAGTACATGTTCAATCATGTATACCTGTAAAAAGAAAAGAAAAAGTCAAACAAAATAACTAGTGGACGGCACCTAGCGGTCTTTTTGATCATGATGTAAATAACTAAAGGATGGACATTTCTTTTTTTTTGTGTCCCAAGAATGCAGATAATGTGCTTTTTACGTCTCATTCTTTTTCTATCATTCTTAAATGCAAGGTTACTTCCGTTATTCTGTTTCAATCGATCGTCAATTGATACTTAAGAAGAAAAAAATCCCCTATTGATTATATATTTATATTTTATACGTGGGTCATTGAATTGGTGAGCTGTTTATTGCGTCATCTATGCCGTTCAATTTGCTTTCTTTCTTTCTCTCATATAAATGATCAAACTCTTGACAAGCAAATATAAATGATTATATCGATTTCGATAGGTCACGAAATTAGTTGATGATATAGATAATAATTCAAAACAAATAATTCAACATATTGATTGTTTTTAGACAATTTATATAGTTTCTTTCTTCTCTGGCCTTTTTTTTCTGTTTGCATAAGCTGATGAAAAATGATTGCATATAAGTAAGATGAATAAGGCGATAGATTGAGTGATTCAAATCAGTAAATTTTTACCACTTGAAAATATAGAAGAGACACAAAAAACAAAAAATACGTAAAAATCTAGTTTTAAGGGCTTCAACTTGTTATCGTTTATGTAAGTTGCATAATCCGATCAATTTATCACAATTTGTAAAAAGTACATAGCAACATAGAAATACATTTCTGTTAAAATTTGGCCAATTTGATCTATTGCGTGTACGATGTAGTCTTTAGTTGAGTTCCATTATTTTACAAAACATTTTACATAAATGCTAAGAAGCTACTGTTCTATGTATAAAGAAAAAGAAAAAAGAGCAAATATGTAATATGATCAATCGACAACTGACAACAGCAAGATAAGATGTTCTCGGATCATCAACTATCATAGTGAAAAGAAGAAGAAGAAAAAAAAGAGGAGTAAAATAGATGAAATCACAACTAAAAAGAAAGTTTTATCAATGGATTCGAATGATTCTTCATTCGAGAATAGACTTTTACGAAATTCTTTTATTGTTCGACCAAGAACATTACTTCGATCACCATTGTATCGAATAAAAGAAAATACTGAAGCTATTCATATTAAAGATGGCTCTCTAACAGGATTAGATTATTTATCTAATATACGAAATTATTTATGGAATCGAGAAACAAAACGATTTTGTGCTCGTGATGGTCTTGAATGGGCAAAACTTGGCTTTTGTTATTTTATCCATTTTTTTACATTGGGCATTCTTTTTTCTGCACTTGTCATTGTCTATTTTTTACTTATGGATAAAAAGACGCCGAGACGATTGGGCAATGAAAGTGCATTAGCATTTGACAATGGTATCCATCCAGGTAATAGAACTCTTCAATCTTATATGTATATGTAGTGCTGTGAAAACTTATTGAATCATCAGATATCTGTGCTTTTTTAAGATTTTATTCTTGATTGATATGACTTTTTTTGGGTTCAAATTTACATCCAATAGTTTGACTCATACTATACCTGCTCTGTTAGTATTCATTCAATAAATACTATAAGACCATATGTGAATCTATATAATGGTCATGAACTTCTAACGAAAGGATAATATTGATATAGAAAAAAGTTTACAAGTAGCCAAAGGCAGAAGGATGTCTATAATTTTTTACAGCATTGTATAACATTTACGTATATATGTATATTCAATAGAATGCGTAGTAATCAAGGGGAGGAGGAAGATGATTCCGTGATTCCATTGATTCTGTGTGATTCCAGTACTATAAAATCAATTGTTTTCTCTTTGATTTTTTATGACTAAACAAAAAACAATATCAGATTCGTGTTCAGAATGAAAAACTAATTGTAATCAAGATGAAATCAGCTGAATCCAGATCATTGGAATCATACGAAATCAACAGAATCATCCCGGCATCACTAGAACTCACTGAATAATCTCAATGATTCCGAGTGATTCTACCTGATTCCAATGATTCTATCACCACAGAATCAGCTTTTCTCCCTTGGTAGTAATCAATACGGTATGTGTTGTGCCAAACGTGTTTTCAGATTGTTGTACAGAAAAAGACAAAATTCACTAGAATTTGATGTATCAGTAAGAGCCATAAAAGTCAGCTTGATTCGTCTTATGAGACATATATTCTACAAAAGTTATCTTCGCATTTAACTCCAATTCTTTTTTTAATAAGTAATTTAAAATTAGGTGAAAAGGAATTTACTTTGAAATCATTTATAATTGTAGTTGAGGGCGGTAAACGGTACTGACAATAGTACAAGCAAATGTTTAATTCTACTGATAATAACAATAAATTGTGAATCTTTGACTGTCAAAGAAAAACACTCCTTTGAATTAATATTACACAAGAAATTATTCGAATGTTGTCCGCTTTTTTTTGAGGTCTTGGCTTTCGACCACAATTTTACATGGATCGCTCAATTATAAAGTGGCGTAGTTCACGTAAAACAGGTCATGAATCCATTGGTCAGATGATTGATAATATACAAGAATGGGGTAAAATGTATATTCTTAAAGATCAATTCTATCAACAAATGATCGATTGCACAGCGATACCACGCCATTTACTAATAGATTATTTTCGTCAAGGACTTTCATGTATATTTTTGGTGACTGATGTTAAACCAGGTCCTAATCCGTGCACGAAACCGAAAAGTTATGGCTATAATAAAGGTCGACCGTGTGTTGTTATTAAGTTAAATCGAATCTTCGGCTGGATACCAGAACCATATCAATCAAAAGAAGAAGTACCAATCGAAATTCGTCATTTATGGCAACCAGTTATGAAAAATTTCGTATTAATTAAATGTTTCGGACAATATCCCACGGATCAAGATCTTGTCTATCAAGTCGATCATATTTCAATATTAGCTAATAAAGCTATTGGTGGTATACCAACATATTTTTTTCCATTTTTAAATCAACCTGGCTATCGGCAGCCTTATATATGGGCACAGTTTGTTAAAATTGAATCTAATGTTTTATTGAATATTGTATGCCGTGCTTATGCAAAAAATATTCGTCAGAGTACCAATGTTGAAGATATGACTGGTGCCGTACATTTTGAACTTTTTTTTGAATAGTATGACTGTTTTATTCGAACAAAAGAAAAACACAATTTATACACAAAAAAGAAAAAAAAACAATGTGACGAGAAACGACAAATCAAAATTTGAATTTCGACTTTTTAGGATCGTTACCACCTTTGGTATCTGTTTGTTTGCTTTTACGTTTCTAGAAAAATAAAATAAAATAAAATAAACTTTGAATTTTTCTTTTTAAATCAAAAACAAACCTTATTTTGTTTATTTAAGTGATCCGATAATAAATCGCTATTATCTTCTTTAGCTAATTCTTTATCTTTTAATTCTTGTCGTAAACGTGCTTCAAGTGCTTGACTATTCATATCAAGCTCATCAGGATTGAGTGCAATATCAACACCACCAGACGTATCACTTCGACCTGCTGATGATTGACCCAATTGATCTTTTCGAACAGCTTGAAAATCATAGACACGATTCGTCGATAACAAAGACGATTGTCCAACGCCAACATTTTTTTCAGGTAAAACAGTATAAAGAGCCGGTGTTGTATCACCATCCATGTCAGAATGAAAACGAGATTTACGTAATTCGAACTAAATAAATTTAAAGAAATATTTATTTTCATTAAATATTGTCAAATTTTTTAATTTCAGAGATGATTTCTCATTTCTAATGGCAGTTATCATACAAAGAACATAGAACATTACTAGTTTCATATAAGAGCACAAAGAAATGTTATTTCATGCACAAATGTGTGTTGCTATGGTTAAAGAAATTTTCAATACTTTCTAGAAATCATCTTAGCGCACGATCTTCCCAAAGACAAAAAAATAATGTTAAAATCATTACCTGTTGTGGTGTTTCTGTGCCAAGTATAGATGATTGTGTACCTAAAAGTATAGTTCGAAATGCAGAGGGCTACTGTGAGAAAGACTTAACTTACCGCTGGGTGTAGCAAAACCTTCACTGCCATGTGGTGTTTGAAATCCAGCTGGATGTACATTTTGTTCTTGTTCCGATGCAGCATGATGATGATGATGTACATGATGATGAGCATGTTCAGCAGCTGTTGGTGCAGCCATTTGTCCTTCATTAGTTGCTTCACCATCAAGGCCAGTGTCTTCTGTGGTTTCTTCTTCGTCCGACGAACTAACTACTTCTTGTTCTTGTTCTTCTTCTTCTATTTCTCCCCAATAACTTTTATCAATATGTTCTTCTTCAGTCATACTACGAATATAAGCAAATTGATTTGTACCGAATACATCACCATATAATGGTCGTCCATGTTCATCAACCGGTGGTTTACCCCAACCGCCACTATGATAACCGAATTGACAACTTTCTGGTATAGGTGCATTTAAACCAGGAATTTTAAGATTAGGATAACTTGGTGGTGGACCATAACGTTGCATGGCAATTAACCATGGTGGTGGATATTTATCAGCTGTTGGTCCAACTGGTATACCAAGTGCAACACGTAATTCTTCACTTAGTATACCTGGTTTTTTGTCTTTTAGACGTGTTTCATTTTCTTTTCCTTCATAATATAAATCACCATGTATAGACATTCGTGGTTTTGTTTGCCAACGAAAAAAAGCATCATGTAATTTTTGATAATCGATATCAATTTTTCCTAATTTGGGACGAACTTTCTCACGCATTTTTTGTTTTAATGTTTTATTTTGTTCTTTTTCTTGTAAAGCTTCACGCATTTCCATGATACCAGTACGACGAATGAAGTCAGGTAATTGAAATGGTGGTTTTTCTATACCACGCTTACCTTGTAGGTATTTACGTTTTGCGCACCAATGTCGCGGTACAGGAACTGTATTACGTGTTGCTTTGAGATGAACAAGTAATTTTGGATCTTTAGCTGTAACATCAAACATTTCTACAACATCAGGTCTTATAACAAGTTGTTTTAATTGAGCAACAGTAAGGCGTGTTTCACGTTTTTGTTGCTTTTTGGATTTTTTTTTATTTTCTTCTTCATCATCGTCATCTTTTTTCTTTTTATCATAATTTGATTCTTTTTCATCGTCATCTTCATTCTCTTCCAAATTTGTTTTATCACGTGGTAAAAGTACTTTTGGTGTTAGAACTCTTTTACCATATTTATTATAATGATATTCAGCGTTATCTTCACCAGTTGGATCTAATTTAAAGTTTTCAAATACTTTGGCGAAATGCTTATAATAGTCATCACCACGTTTAACTGGAATATCTTCAGGAACATAATCGATTTCAACATTTGCTGTAGAACTATCATCGTTATCATCATCGTCATCCGAAGTATGTTTCTTCTTTTTCTTTTTCTCATCAGTTTTAGTATTTTCTTTTGGAGGTGGATTTGATGGGGCTGTTACTAATGTTGGAGTGCTAGATTTACTCTTCTTTTTAGCACGACGACGACGGCGTCGTTTTTCGACTTCCTTTTTGGCTTTACGCGATAATCCGTTTGTCGTAGTTTCTTCTTCATCAGATTCATCGTTGTAATCTTCATTTTGTTCGATACCAGAATCTGTTTGATTACCACCACTATGCAATTTTGTTACACGATCTTCTTCATGTTGATTATCACGAAACTTTAAGACACGTTCCATTGTTGATGGAAGACGAACATCATCCTATTCAATAGTCACGAAAAAAAAACGATTGATTTATCGATACGAAGCGAAAATAAATTCAATAGACGTACCCTGCTTGGCATAGCCATTAGAGGTGGTGGGCCACCACTAAAATTTCGACCTGGAAGAGACCAGTCTAAAAGATACAAATGATAAGAATTTTCTTTGTTCACTGTAAAACTATCTATGCTTACCAAAGGGTGGTAAATTATTATTGTTCGATGAACTAAAATGTAAAAAGCAAAAATCAAAGAATTTTAGATATAAATTACTCTCACTGAATCTATCGATAGTTGTAGTTACTCTAGCACTCATCAGAAAGTGGGTATCTTCAGCTTTTTTTATTTGTGTGTGTAACACATCCATATATAAATATTTCAAATCATTATGAATTAGTAGAATTACTTATCCCGAGTAAATAAAGATACTATCTTAAACTCGCTACTGGACTTGAGAATACTGCGGTGTAAACTGCATCTTAAATAAGAATCGTATTTCTTTTACTAATGATTCTCTAATAAAAATTCAATAATAGAACTAATATTAATATACTCACGATGGTGGCGGCTGTTGATATGACATTCTCGATTTGTTTTTCTTTCTTTCTATTTAATAATCTGAAAATAAAAAAACAAAAAGCATTATTGTTTTTAATCATGAACGAAACGCCTCATTCCAATCGATTGGCCATAGATGATAATTCTCTCTCTGCTATTTCTTATCACCATGAAAAAATTTCGAATAAACTAATGACAACTGTTCCACCTCGTCTAATGCCTGAAACAGTTGAAGATATATTAAATACATTTACATTTTTTGATTTGAATGCAAATCAATGCATCGAAGTCAATGAATTGAAACGTATACTGAATGCATTAAACTTTAAAAAAACAACTGATGAATGTTATGAAATAATTAATACATATGATTTAAATAATGATCAAATGATTGATTTTCATGAATTTATATTTGCTCTTGCTCGTTTAATTAAACATGATGTTTTTACATTACTCGATATACAACAAAGATTTACGTCAGTAGATCTTAGTTATATTTCCGCAGTTGAATATACATTTAGAGTTTTTTTTTTCTGTAGAAAATTCGATGAAGATCAAGATGGTAAAATAACGATATCGACTTTACCAATATTACTACGTAAAGGATTTGGTATACCGGTCAATGATTATGAAATATTTGATTTACTTGCAAAATTTGATATCGTAAATGAATCAACAAAAATTTCCTTTGAAAAATTTATTCGCATGCTTCAATTCGCTGTTCGACAAGGTGAAAAATCACATGTACCAGAATACATGAAGAAATTAAAGCATCGATGTGGGCCAGCACTGAGAAATATTCATCATAATGATATAAAATTATTGAAAAAAAGAATGGGAGGATATCTTTCGTCATCTATGGATGAAATGAAACAATAAATAAATAAATAAATAAAAGATTCCTATACGATTGGATATTCCAGTTTGACAAATGAACTGCTTCAATGATTCCTAGCGGTGACATCTACATGTTGACGTCGCTCATACTGTTTAACTAAAATGTATTCGTTTTGCAAGTATTCCACAATGTTGCTCTATTTTTCATGATAACTTGTTAGATATCGCAGTGTCTATCGAAATTTACTGTAGAGCAGAATAAAATAAATGAGAAATCGTCTCGCAGTTTGATGAGTTTATTATGATGTTATCAAGTCGCTGATACCCATAGTCAACAAATCGTCACCTCTCAATATTTTAGCCAATTGGCAACCTCGAGCATCAAAAGATAGGTTCTTCTTCTTTCCTATTGTGAGTGATATTAACAAATAGATTGAAGCAATATTTCTTCAAGATTGTATTTACTAAAATTTTTCCAGCATTACGACAATTATTTATATGTCGAAAGATGCAATTTTGTTCCTCGTACCCATTGAAGATCACTAATTCATTTTCAAAATACTTCAGGGTTGTGCAGTCATATATCAAAAACTTTCAATTAGAAGTTTCTATTGCTTTGTGGAAAAAAGATCACTTTCAAACTCTGTCTGATATTTTTTTACTGTGCATGCAGTTTTTTGACATTTTCATTTGAAGACACCTAAATTTTGAGCATATTATCGGTGTAGTAAAGGGCGACAAAGATTGATTTCCATGTGAATAAAGATAAATCGTTGTGTTTTATCGAATCATGAATAAGAAAAGAGAAATATAGTTAGCAAAATTAAGATGTGCACGGCGACGAAAGAAATGATGAGACGAGTATTCATAACAAATATAAGTGTGTAATAAAGAATAAATGATAATAATGAAAACAAATAAGTGTAACGATAACAAGAAAGCGATCAAAATGCAATAAGTAAAACTGAGCGTAAAGTACACAGCCAATTACAAACATGAATAATTGTACACGCATTAGAAAGAGAGAGAGAACGCAGTTGGTGGTTAGAATACTCACAGGAGCGGTAAACAAATTTTTGCGAATAGGTAAACGAAATACAAGAAAAATAACATTTTCAACGTTGACTTGTTTTCTATTATTAAATTTAGAGTTTAGATCATCGTCCGAAGAGAACCATTCAGTTTATCGAACATGCCTTTATTGTCTCGAAATATCTATCGGAACATATTATTAAGCATTGAGAAAGGTAATCAAATATCTCTTAGGAATCGGTGTTAGAAAAGAACAGAATCTTTTGTTCAAGATTGAAGAATGATCTAGTTTCATATTATATAAACAGTATTTTTAATAGGATTTCGAAGCACACAGTGTACACGTACACCCTGCTAAGCCAAAAATTTTATTTTCAAAGTGCACTTCATAGGGAAGCAAAGTGTATTCTCAAAAAACACTGTGTATAACAAAGAATTATTTTTATTCCATCAATCAACCGATATGCATTCTACTTTTCTACACAACATGTATAGCTTCTTATGGGTTACACTTGGCTATCATTTTTTTGTCTACTCAACATCAACACCGTTCGTTCGTTCTTTCAGCTTTTTAAAGTCATTATTGGCTATTTATTACTATCTAATCATAGTTGACGGTAATGTTTACTTACAGTACATTAGTGCCCTCTATAATTAAAAACAATTTGCTACAAAACATGCACTAGAAAATTATCTCTAATTACGAAAATCGTTTTCATTTCTTTTTTGTTTTGGGACCAATAAAAAAAAACATTTTTCTATTAATTATTATAGTCAATCAATCAATGAATATTTTATTTGTTCTTTCCTTTCTCTTGTCAACTAAAATGAATCATCATGCATGCATACGAATACGACAAGGTAATTCTTTTTTGCTTGTGTAAACCGTAGAAAAAGCGACAGCATACTATTAAGTTGGGATGACAACACGATAAACACAACGTTTTTGAACTATTTTTAAGCCCAATGAACTCAACTGAGGTACTATAAATAAAAAATATCTACAAGTTTTTATTCTCTTTATTTTCTTTTCCAGCCGAATATATCGAACAGTAGTTCAAATAAGGTACCACCTTATCCTGTTGAAGGTTCAACACTGATTAATAACACAACAATACCAGATCGACATACAACCGATGTAGTCACGTATGTAAAGAATTAGAATTAAGAGCGAACTATTTTTTTCCTAATAATTACTAGTGCTGTTCAATATGGTTTTTATGAGCGTGTTATCGAATTGGTTGAGGCTGATCCACAGCTCACAACAAAACTCTTGGATGATAATATAACTTTACTTCATTGGGCAGCTATTAATAATAGAATTGAAATAGCGAAATATTTAATAAGTAAAGGTGCAAAAATCGATGCGATTGGTGGTGCACTTCATTCGACACCATTGTATTGGGCTATAAGAGATGGAAAACTAGAAATGACTGTATTTCTTGTGTCTTATGGTGCACAAACTTCTTTCTTCGATGGTGAAGGTAAATTTATTTTTAAATCATAAAAAGTAAAGGTAAATTTTCTTATTTATTAATTAGGAGCTGCAGGCATACATATAGCTAGTATGTTGGGTCATTCGTATATTGTTGCCTATTTAATTGCTAAAGGAGATGATGTTAATTTTCTTGATAAATTTGGTTTAACACCATTGATGCATGCTCAACGAGTAATGAAGTAAGAATATATTTCATTTTAAATGGCAGAAACTTAAAGAATATTATTTGTTTAGTCGTGATCCAACTCAAATACTGATTCGGTAAGAAAATTCATTTCTAATACACACTATTTTGAACGATAATGACTTTTTACTACCGTTTAAAATAGAATTTAGATATTCATAGAAATTATAGTGTATTTCGTTTTTTTTATAAACTTCGGAACTAGTTCTGCAGGACTGAAGAATTATACTAAAACACTTCGAGAATTTTCTGTAAACTTGTTTATCAATAAAATCTATTCGTAACAAAATGATTAACATAATGATAATCGTGACAGCCAAGTTTAGTAAGAACAGTTATTGTAGATTGAGATCATTAGCATTCACTCATTAAATATAACATGAATGCATACTCTATGTATGTTAATCTCTATGCTGTTATTAAATGTTTATAGAACCGATTAGTATTGCATATTCTATAGATTTCGTATTATTATACGATCGAAATGTGATTCTAATAGTTTTGTCTAATTTCAAAAATATGATCTTTATCTTTATAATTTAGACTTGGTGCTGATATCAACCATCAAAATCCCGACAATAAATATACTGCCCTTCACTATGCTGTATCTAATAATAATTATGATGCAATTCGTGTACTTATTGATGCTGGCGCTAAAACTAATATACGTAATTCTGATGTAAGTTTTTTCAATGTTATTTTAGCTTTTCTTTTAAACTAATTTTTCTTTTAGAATGAAGATGTATTTGATTTTGCGGCCAAAGCAAAGAATTCTCGTTATTTATTACGTCTTTTAAGTGAATTAACTTCTTCGAATAAAGTTGTACCAAGATGGTTAGAAGTAAACCGTTCAACTCAACTCTTCGGAATCAAATTGCTACCATATATAATTATTATTCTTGTGGCATTTATTGTGGATTTAGAAGTGTGGTTTATTTATAAAGGTGTTGTTTTATTTGGCTTGTATGTTTTAATTCGTGGATATATGATGTAAGTAGAAGCTGTTTGGCATGAATAAAATCCTATTTATATCTTTAGGATATTTTTCGACGACAAATTACAGGGAAAAGCGCCGATAGCTATTGCACAAGCATCGATATTTTGGCTTTATGCATGCTATATATATTATTTTCTACCGTGTAAGTGTTTCTATTTACGTTAATTTCATCATTATTATTCATTCTATGTTTTGTTTTGATTTCTATGTATGTTTAGATACGCATGTAATGTCCTTCAACTGTATTGGACTTCTTATATTTACATATTTTTCATGGAAAAGTTATTATCTTGCAATAAAAGTTGATCCGGGTTATATTGTAACCAATACTGATCAACTACATCGAGTATGTAGATTTAAAATTGAAATATGAGAGATAGAATGAGTCTACTTTTAGACAATAATTCAATTAGCTGAACAAAATATGTTTGATAGTGAGCATTTTTGTACATGGTGTCTTGTTCGACGCCCATTGAGATCAAAACATTGTCGAGAATGCCGAAAATGTGTAGCAAAATTCGATCATCATTGCCCGGTAAGTTGTAGTAGTGAAATATTCCTAGGTCGAATAGATATGTGACAAAAAGAATGTTATGAGATTCAATTAACCTTTTTCAATAGCGGATTATAAACGTTGAAATTCGTTATGTTTGATCAAAGTCAATATTATCTATTTTAAAAGTAATATCAGAAGATAAGATAATTGTGAAAATTTGTTGTTTAAGAATATTGAACTGACAAAAATGAAATCAACATCAAGTGAATCATATTTGAGTAGAAGTCAATTCATTCATTTTTATTTCTTCTGAACTCTTTTTTTATAGTAATTACGTGGCATCGATGGAACATAATGGGATGAAATAGAGCTCTAGTGGATGAAATCAAATAGATTTCATCACGCTTAAAAGTCTTCTACTGTAAAGTAGATTGCGTCATATAATCACATGCTCATCGAGAAAAGGAAAGAAATAACATTGAAATAGCAAAGTGCCCGATAGAACTAGTATTTATAATGTTATAGTATCGTAATGAATATTTTCTTTTGACAGTTTCTAATCCAATACATGATCTCTAGTGCGATTAAGAGCATCACACATCTTTCAATGTGTGTTAAATAGCTTCCATTACATTCCAATTCTATTTGTCTAATGATTTATGATCAATGAATTGAAACTATAGAGGTATTCTCCTAAATAACACATTCTTTATAATGTAAGTGAACGAAATCTTTAATGTTAGAATATAAAAGCTTTTGTAGAAAATAATATGTTAACTATAATTTTTTACAAATCGTTTTCTTTTTTGATTGTAAATCTACCATCAAACGACGCATCAGCTTTTTTTTTTCTCAAGTATGCCTATCCGGAAAAGCTACACTCACTGTTGGAAAGTCTAAAAAAGAGAGCTGTAAAGAACGGAAAGAAAAACACTAACCTATCCTTCAGTTCCGTCGGGAAAAAAACAGCGATCGATTTTTTTCTCGTCTCATACTCATGCAGAAAATATGAATAGTCTTTCTATTTTATTTGGAATATCAATGATGACAATACTATAGATATGATAGACATCATTGGCTAGTCACAAACGATTAGTGTCATATTATTTTTTCTAGTGGGTTGACAATTGTGTTGGCGATAAAACATTACCTTATTTCACTGGCTTTATATTTTTTACACCGATATGTCTGCTCTTTTTTCTTTATGGTGCTCTTGTTTGTAAGCTGAATACCATCATTAAATGTTGAATTAGAGATTATCATTTAGATTATCGAAATCATTGTAATGTTACATCAATCGGTTTACTATCAGCAATAATTAATTGCAAAGCATCGGTACTATGGTTTACAGGAATTGCAATGCTTCATACTTTTTGGATTAGTGCTCTTTGTGCGACATTAATAACTCAAGTGAATTGACTTTTTTTTGTGTCGAACGGCTTTTGTAAAGTTTCTTTTTATTATTAAAGATTCTAGGTGGTTTTACGACAAACGAACTATTTAATTTCTGGCGATATAAGTATATACGGTTAGATGATGGATTAAGTCCATTTTCTTTTGGTTGGAAGCAAAATTTAGTTGATTTACTTAATCGACGTATACTTTGGTATGCACCAACAAATTTCGATTGGGCACATATTTATACTTTAGACGATTTTAATGAATTAATTCCAACACGATTAAGACGATCTACAAAATCATCGTCGAATAATTCACCAAAGAATTCATTTAATGTTTAATATTGAACAAGAAAATAATGCGAAAGTGACAATATTGATTTGTGGTTAACCTGATATGTGATAGCTAGGCATCTCAGTTCCTTTATTGTTCTGTATCAACGAATGTTGATCGAGGAAAAAACAAGATTTCAGTATACTATAATATTTTTCTTTTTGTTTCCTTTCCGAAGAATTGAAAATTTTTAATCGTTCCTTTTTTCCTTTTATTAATATGTCTTAATCAGTGGATATTACTTTATATTTATTATTATTGAGTTTTTTTCGCGACTGAAAGAGAAAGTCAAAGCATTCGTTATGCATTTGTGGCGTACGTAGCGACTCCCCTTGACAAGAGACTCACGAGGGTGCAGCTCGTGTTTTTTTGCTTGTTCTTTCCTTCTGTTTGCATCTTTCTTTTTCATGTAAGACTTTTCATTTTCGCAAGTGTTTTTATATTTTACTTTTATAAGAACCATGAATGTGCTGTTGGTTATTGTTGAAGCGCAGTGATGACTCATTCATAACATTTGCATGCTGGCAGCTTTATACTCCTTTTTTCCGTCTATTCAATAATATGTCAAATTCCTTTCCACGAATAACTCAATTATGAAAATATTTTTTTATAGATATTCAATGGCTACATCTCATAGAAACTTAGATAAAAGTCCATCTGCATTATTACGCCACAATGTTCAGCAACTTAAACAGCACACACAAAAACTACAAACAAATGCAAAAGAAGCTGTTCGACGTATGCCAGTAGTTCTAACTGAACAACAGTTAAAACGTTTAAAAGAACATAAATATGCATCCGAAGGAACAACATTATTGGATCCATTTATGCAAATATTTTGGAAATGGCTGGTTGAATTTTGTCCATTATGGGTTGCACCAAATCTTCTAACTGTTGTTGGATTAGCAATAAATATTGGTACGAGTGTTTTACTTATGGTAGAAACAAATGGTGCCAAAGAACAGGTCGGTAACAGGATTTTTTCCTACCTTTTGAAAATAAAAATTGTTCATCAATGATAGTGTTCACGATGGATATATTTTCTTACGGCACTTGGACTTTTTATTTACCAATCGCTCGATGCTATCGATGGTAAACAAGCACGCCGTACGAATTCTTCATCGCCATTAGGAGAACTCTTTGATCATGGTTGTGATTCTGTTTCATGTGGTACTGAATTCATGGCTTTTTTTTGATAACAAATGAAAAAAAGCTTTCATATTCATTTTTTAGTATTTGTGACAATTGCTTGTTGTTGTGCCGCTCAACTTGGTGTTTATCCATGGCTGATGTTTTGGTCATGTGTATTATCATATTTTGTCTTTTATTGTGCTCATTGGCAAACATATGTTTCGGGCAAACTGAAATTTGGACGGTAAATTGAAAAGAAATCATTTTTACTTTAAAATTCTCTATAAAAATCATTGTAGACTTGATTGTACCGAAGCTCAATTCTCTTTTATTACTATTCATTTGATCAGTACAATATCGCCTGGTTTTTGGTCAAATTCAGTATGTTATTTAATAATAAATAAAGTAAATGAAATTGACGAATGCTTTTTTTTCGTTACAGATTCCTTATCTACAACTTGAATATCGTATACTTGTTGCATTATTAACGATTGGCTCAACTCTATGGAGTTCATTTAATAATATTCGTTTAGTTTCACAAGGTGGTTGTGGAAGAAATTTCTCATCAGTAGCTGTAAGATATTTGATAATGTTTTTTTTAAATGTTGTTTTGAATTAAAAAATATTATTCAAGGGTACAAGTATTATTTTTCCTGGTTGGCCTATTGGTTTACTTATTTTTCTTGCTGTTGTTGCTTCCAATTATTCAACATCAAGCGTACTTGAAGAACATACATCACTTCATTTACTTTGTTATGGTATGGTTTTTTCAAAAATTACCAATCGTTTAATTGTTAGTATCAATTTATACATCTATTCAATTCGATCTTGATGATCTTTTTGTGTTGCTTTTATTTAATTAGGTAGGGCATATGTCAAGAAGTCCACTGAATGGATGGGATTCATCCTGTATTGGGCCTTTGGCTGTTTGTATTAATCAATATTTTAATCTACTCATCGATGAACATGTTTTACTTTGGTTTTTTCTCGTAAGTTGATAGGATATTAAAAAAAAGAAGTTTCTAAAAATAAGGAGAAACATTAGAAACGCCATAGTCAGAACAAAAACAAGTGTTTTAAAAAACTAGAATGTTAATATGAATGTACTTTCCTATATAAGAGCTAAGAGACAACTAATCTTTTCTCTATGTTTATTGCACTTAGTAACAGTCTCCTCATAGATATATGACATTGTCTTGACTTTCTTTTATAGTTAAACTGATTTTTAGAAGAGAATGTGAGTGTACAGGATAAGTTTTTTTTCTTAGTTTATATTCCCATAGGGAATATTTTGTAACCCTAATCGTGTAGAGCATAGAGCAACCACATCCATCTCTTCTGTTAACTTATTCTTTATATTCATTGTGAATATTTTACGAAATAAATTTACATTTTCGAAACAGAAATTGAAACAGAACAGTCACTCATAAACATTTATTTCTTAGACAATGCAGTCTACAAGTAAAACAATAGATAAACGTTTAAATATAATTGTTCTGTTTCGTATTTGTCTCCAGCATAAGTGTTTTGTACGATGAAATTATGATTTTTTGATCTTGTGTATCGTCGACAACGTAATCGTACAGTTACTAGAATGTTGAAATTTTGCAATCAAACGAATACATTCAAATGAAAATGTAAAACTAACGATAGTGATAAATAACCTGGTCTTGTAATAAATCTTCAAAATGTACTTGAGTTTCAAACTTTACGAAAAAAAAAGAATAAGGCTTTTAATGTAGCTGGCCTACTATGAAAATATCAAAAAGTTGTCAAAGCCATTGACATCAGATTAGAATATGAAATATGACACTACTGCACTCGTTAATCGCCGAGATCTATCTGTTTTGGGAAGCATTTCTTCACCATTCTTCTAGTTAATCCTACATGAATGCAATAGGAAGATAGTTCATTTATTCAAACGAAAAAGTCTTGATATACAATCTTCGATTTGTAAATCAATGCTTGTCACACGAGAGATGAAGTTCGGCGAGTCTATTTTTATATCAACTACTGCAGGTATACATCTTTTTTTACCCTTCGAAAGATTTAATTTTCTATTGTCTCTCACACGTGAATATAAGATATTTTTATCTTCTATAAGTAGAAAATTTTTTACCGGAAAACAAAAACAATAGACGAGGTTAGTCTTCGACTCTTCACAAAACTATATTAGTGCTATGAATAGAATCATATCTTATGTCTGATTGGAACTTGTGAATAATAGTACTAGTTAATTATACTAATAATATCTTTTCTTCCAAGGACTTGAAGCCACAGGAACATGATTTGTCTTTTTCGACTCGATAAAGTGAAAAACACAGTTTCTGATTATATATATTCGATTTTATCGGAAGTATTTTCTTTTCATTTATGTAATCCCAGTAGGAATAAATAACCTACCAGGCATAATATATAATTCCACGTTTACAATGAATTTATTTAGACGATATTTTACAAAAGTTCAGGATATGTTTTTTTTTCTGTTTAGATTTACAGCTTATACGATCTATTACGATACAATATTAAAGTCTGTCAAGAACTTTGTGATTTCTTAGATATACATTGTTTTCGAATTAAACCACCCACCATAGCGTCAACTTCTAATCATCATTGATACTTTTAAAAATTTTCTTTTTTTTTTTTGTTCGATCATCTTTATCATCTTGTTTGTATCTCGACTAATTGTTGTATCTCTAGATTACATATTGTCTTTGTTCGTATTACCTTTTTATTTTAACTGTTTATTACTGAAATCCAGCATAAGTAAAAAACAAAAGAATAAAAATAAAGTGTATACAACCAGTTATCAGTTTCATTTCTTTTTTTTTCTATTCTAGAAAACGATTATTTTCAAATGGCAAATGATCACGAACCTACTACATTTGAAGAAGCATTCGAACGTTACATTGAATATCGAACACGTTTTGAACGTCTTGAAAATGATTTCGATGAATATCAACAATCATCATTAAATTATGAACAAGAATTAGAAGTACAACTAAAACAATTAGACAGTCAATCACACAGATTACAACAAGAACTGTTTGTTGAACGTACGCAAAATGAACAATATCGTGAACGTAGCGAACAAACAATAAAACAATTTGATAAGCGGCTTGATCAGTTACAAGAAGAATTAAATGCGTGTAAAAATTTAAATGAAAAACTAACGACCTACATACGAGAACTAGAACAAACTAATGACGATCTTGAGAGAAGTAAATAAAATCAAAACAAAAACTTAAGCTATCCAAAACATTTTTTTTAAAATAGGTAAACGAACATTACTAGATAGTTTATCAACGTTTGAAACGCAATTAAATCGCGCATTAGAACAGAATGCTTTATTAGAAAATGAACTTGACGAAAAACAACAGGTTTTAAGAAGAATTATTTAACATAATTTTTCAACTAGTTTTTGTTGTTTTTATGTTATTTTATAGCTAACTGAAACTGTCCAACGACTACGTGATGAAACCAGAGATCTACGTGAAGAACTTGATGTGTTACATAAGACAAATACAGAAAAAACTATGAATGCAATGAATGCGCCTGCAAAAGGAACACCTATTGTAAATAGTAGTCGAATGAAAAGTATTTTATCCGAAGCAGCAGCTTCTGGGACAACACCAACACATGATTCGACTTATCGACAAGGTAAATATTCACTGTAGCTCGGTAGATATACTTATTCTAGACGTGTATTACTCGTTATTCATCGTCACTATTTAAAAGCGAAATCAACCATGTTTGAAATCAAATTAGTACTATCATTGTATCTTCTCAAGAACTGCCAGGACATAGCCCGAAGCTAATTATAAAAGATCATTGCTTAGATTTTCTGTTCTCTTAAAAGCTCTTTTATTGGATGAGTCGTCACCGATTTACAACCATCTCAGAAGAAAAGCACTATAATTATAAAAAGTCTAACCCACTTTTCTATGTTTATACAGAGCAAAGTAAAATTTAATTCTACATTATCTAGGCTTGAGCAACGGTCATCACAAAGTACCATCGTCTTTACATGGTTACAAAAATGGTGTTACAACTCCATCCACACCCAAACCTCCATCGTTATCTTCTGTTACAGATTTTAATCGGAATACTATTCCGGGTTCTCCATCATTATCAACAGAACAGCCAATAACAACGAATATAAATAGTCCAAACGGTTATACAACAACTCTGCCAAATGATTTTACCCAACCATTGTCGATTCCAACTCGATTACAATCGCTAAATTTAATAAATGAAGCATTTAGACGTTTTAGCGCTATTGAAGCCACATTAGCAGCTCAACGTAAACAATCTCAAATGACCTCATCATCCATAAGCTCACATCGTTCGCGTATGAATCCAGCAGGAAATAATTCTACAACTAAACAACAACAACAGCAAAATAATGAATCGACTATGGCTCAGGCACAATCTTAAATGATTATTTCAGATATATTTATATGAATATACTGATAGAGTTTATTCTGTGTTTTTCTTTTGTTCGATCGCTCTCGTTTTTTATATATACATATAGCTATTTTATTGCTTTTCTTCATTCGTCGTCCTTGATGATGAACACAACAAGGAAAATTATTCTTGTTTTTTTCCTTTCTATTTCATATTTTAGAGGTTACATATATATATATATATATATATACATATAATCAATCGGTCATGTCCGGGAATAAGAAATCAACGACAACAATATCAGCCAATAAAAAACGTGAAGAAATATCAAATAAAACATATACAGTTGAACGCTTACTTAAACATCGTAAAAGAAAAGTAATCATTCGACGGAAAAATTTTTTTATTAATCATGATTTTTTTCTTCTCATTAGGGCTCTGTTGAATACTTGGTAAAATGGAAACACTATGATAAGAGTCACAATTCTTGGGAACCTGCAGGAAATATTCTTGATAAGTCTCTTATTGATAGTTATAAAAAACAAACAAAATCTTCATCTCGACGTACTTTATCACCAAAAAAATCTGTACGAAATCAAAACGATGAATTATCACCCACGAAAAATGAGTCTGTTAATAATTCTGATGAACAATTAGAAAAAGAAGATGATAATTATAATAAACAAGAAAAAATGATGAATTCAACTACGATTGATTATTGGTATCCACCTATATGTAACAAAAAAGCAAAAATTGCAATAACAGATGTAACATCGGATAATGTTACAATTACATTTCGAGAATTAATTTGACAACGATTGTCATCTGTTTATTTGTTTGTGTTCTTTTTTATAAAAATTTAATAGAATGTCAGATATATGCGCGGTTTTTATTGTAAAGTATCCATAATATGTTTTTTGTAAATATATGAATATATTCCGAATATATACATCGCATCTTTTACACTGTTGTTCTGACCAATAAAAAGTAAAAATCGACATTAAATCTTTAACACAAACAATAGTAAGTTACTAATCGTGTTCGTTTTAATCAATGGAATTTTAATAGATTCTCATCATGAGTATTCTTATCAAAACGAAAAAAGTTGATTTAGAGCCATGTGAATGAATTGAAATGCTTGAGAATAGATTGGATTAGATATAAATGCCAGGAAATGTTCGAATGAGTTTTCTCACTTGTTTAGATTCATTTACATACTTACACTCGCTCTCCGGTTGTAATCAATTGCACAGGAAAATGATTGACTCGGTTACTACCAAGAAAATAACAAGTGAATCTCACAACAGATACTTAGTTGATGAAAAGAGAAGATAGAAATCGATGCATCTGGGATACTCAAAAGACGTATTCTAGTATAACATATAGAAGAAGTAGAATTAGTCAAATAAATATATCAGGCTACGTAGCATTACATTTTGAAAAATTTTAGCAATGCACGAGAAAAACTTAAAATATAGTCTATTAGAGGATTCATTTGAAAAATGCTATAAATCAATGTTTTTATTTTTTATAGCTTTGCCAGTACTCGAGCTATGTTATTTGATTCGATACACAATTTCTTCTTAAAAAAATACCCTCCTTCGCTGTTTTTATGCAAACTAATGTCTATGTTAATCTTTCATTCACACTTTCTAGAAAAGTGACTACTCGATCAAATATATTAAATATAACATACTGATGAATTGTTTATACATCTATACAGAAAAATGAATAGGTTTACATAAAATAAAATTCTACAATTATTGTTTAGAACACAACGACACTATTAACATTACAGAAAAAAAAGAAAACAGTAAAGAAACATATCTCGTTTAATTCGCAAAAGATTCTTTTCTTCTAGTCCATTATTACGCAAAATAAACAGGATTGTTCTGTATATTAATTATTGATGGTCGATGAGTTGTTGTTGTTGAATTTAATAATGATAATTCTTGTCCTATAGCTACCGGCGTATTTACTGAATCTTGTCGACTGGGATTACTTAAACTAAATTTATGATGATTTGTACAACGATGATATTTTATAATTCCAGTTAATTGTGATTGTTGGCGATATTGAACAGGTGTTGATCGTACTTGGTAGCCAAGCGAATATAAACGATCATTTTCTAATTTATTCATATAATTTCGAAATATATTTGGTTGTTGCCAGTCTGTATTATTTTTCATCAAACATCGATCAAAACTACGAAACATTTCTCGTTGAACTTCAGCATTGATTAATGTATAAATTAATGCAACAATTAAACCCTTAGAAAAAAATAATAAATAGAAAAAAAAATGTAATTTTTCTCTCAATTACTTGAAGTGATAATGATACTGTATGTACAGTAAGATGAATAATTATTAAATTTGGAATCAATAATGGTTTCGTATTCCACATGAATAAAAAATAATGAATGCCAAAAACTGGCAATAAGATTAGAGTTGAACGTGTCAGACGACTAAGAGAAACATGAGTTATAACATATGTTGTGTTTGCTTTTATTGAAACAATATTTATTTTACCTATATTTAGCAAAACGTCTTTGATCCGAAAAAGCTGCTGTCCGATAAGTTTTATTAAGCTTTCTTGCAAGTAATACACATATATAAATAAATATAATAAAATTAAACTAAACAAGAAAATTTTCGAATTAAAACCCAAAATCCTTTATCGTTATTCTAACTAACTTACAATTTGTAATATAACATTGGGCCCATGAAGAATCCAATCATAAGTTGATGGTTCAAACCAACACGTATGAAAATCAGTTTTTTTCATATAACGCGTTGTATACGTAACCATTGTTAAGATAAGTGGAGCCACTGTAAAAACAAGTAAAAAAGAACAACGCTATGCTGTACATGAACGGATTCTTTTTGTTTTAATGAATAAATACTCACACCAACCAATTAATATATACCACCGAACGCGATCTTTATATGCTTTAGCGCGTAAAAGTCGAAACAAATAAAATGCTTCACAAAAAACAAACCAATGTGAAACGCTACTATTGATATAATTCATTAAAACAGTAAATAATTTACAATCGAGTAACTAAAAAACAGAAAAAGGAAAAAAGATAATTTTCATTTTGTCTAGATATGTAATTGGAAATATTTTCTAGAACGATGTGTTTTTTTCTTTTAATGAAAGAAAAAAACTAACTAGATATTCTTACTTCATTTTCATTATAATAAGTCGTTGTTCGATTGCATGAATCTGTACGCTGAAATACATTATGAGCAAAATAACCTCGACTCATATGAAGTTCTGCAATAATTTGTATTGCTGACCGAATGAGGAAAACAAGAAATACATTGACATGAAGAATATTTCGTGAACATTGTCGAAGACGACTAAAGTAATACAATTAGAAATCGTAGTATGTACGACCCTTCGTAGCTATGAGGGCACGAATGTCGAACGCTTTACTATCTTACCTATTTCCAAGTAAAATAAGAATACCAAAAGCAAGAAGAACAATCGAAAGACCATTCGCACAAACAACAAAATATCGTCTTGTAACGATATAAGCGGTAGGTAATGAAAAAGCATTTGTTCCACTCTAAAATTAATCACAAAAGCATTGCTACTGATTGAGTTTCTTTTGCTGTTGCGTTGAAATAAATACACACTGAATTAGAAAGATCAGCAGGTGAACATCCAATACATAAACCATAATTCGCTCTTTCTTCCCATCGAGATTGGTTTGTACACAATCGTGTAGCATAGGCTAAAATACGAGTTTTTCTGTTTTGTATATTTGATGTCAAAGGCATTTCATACCATCTATACTAGCATTAGGAAAAATATTGCTAGGACAAGAGAGTTTACTAGTTGCACCAGGTTCTGTTGGTGGCCAACAAGCAATACGATCAAAAAATGGTTGACAATATGAATCTAAAGAATGTGTAAGATTTAAAAAAAATAGAATTGAAATCATCCCCTTGTTTTCTTTGATATTTACCATGCGTTCCTGATGATGATAGATTGAATGCTGATGTACAAGAATCTGCCATATGTTTAGCAGATGGTAAAATAACTAGATAATGATAATGGTGTTTTCTTTAGAAGTATAAATATGTGAAACTTATTTTACCTTTCATGCTTTGAACTATTATTTCTTATTGATTAATAAGACGAGATAAATCTATTTTTTTCTTGTTCTGAATGTTTGAAAAAAACAAAAATTTATCTATCGTTTTCTTATGGTCTTAAATGTTCGCATTAAATGTTTATCACGTTCACGGAACTCGGCAGGATGAAATTGACAAGATTACAAGTATCACTAGGTGGTCAAAAAATGTTTTGGACGGAAACTAACTTGTTCTTTTGTTCTCTCGCGTGCATTCTTTTCTTCGAAATCAGTTCAAATAGTATGTCCTCGATAGGAATATAATTGTAAAGAGAAAAGAAAAAAGAAAATTACAGAACTAGTAATAGCCAGATAAACATCTGTTTGATTATTGATGCTCAATCTTTTATTATAATTAATTGCATGTTAATCGATATAAATTTTTCGAAAATAAACAATTGTGTGACATTCATTTGTTTTCATGAAACACAATACCTAGCGGGGGCTTTTTATTACCATAAGAATAATGAGAACAAAGCATGACTACACATACATTCAAGCCGTTTGGATAATCTAGTCGTTACATTAATGAAGACAAACAATCCTTTTCTGATAAACTAATATGTATGATGACCACCCATTTTCACGTTTAGAAAAAGCAAAAAGGAACTTGAATTTTGTTGTTAGACCATACGGATTATAGTCAATAAAACTCTGATTAGCTTAGCTTTAAATTGTTTTTCATTTTTCTTTCTGTCTCTTTCTACAAAGATTGTTCGATTCTGTAAGCGAAAGGAATTGTTCATTGATCTCATATAGTTTAGATTATTATTTAACTAATAAATACATTTTGGAATTCAAACACTGCCTATAAAGTTTTTCCTTTAGAAAAAATGTACCAAAACGCCTCCGTTCTTCTAATGAAGTAGAACGAATTGAACTCAAACTTTTCTCGTATGCAATATGAAATATTTTTTAAACATTAATAGTTTCTTATCCGAAGAAAAAAATTTGAAGTAGTGAAAACAGCGTCTAATATCTGTAAAAAAAAGAATTTTGTTTAGTTCAACCAAATATAACATGTCGTGGAAAAATTGCATCAGACATCTTTGATCCTATGACAAATTTTGTTCTGAAAATTTGAAAGCATTCCTAATAAATGTACGGCTAGCAGCATCGCCATTGAAAACGCTTTATCATGTTGTTGATAAAAGTTAATAAATAGAATAATAAATTGTTTCTGAGATAAATCCAAAACACAACTATACCTAACATTATATCTTATTTTAGCTGTGATATTTTCTATTCTATACCTCGAAAACTATATATCCGAGTTCTATACAGCTAAATCTGGACGTCGTTTTATTGTAAAATCTTTTTTGATTTGACCTTTGCTCTATATCTTGTTCTATACGTTTATTCGATTGACTGAAGTTCGATCGACCTGTCCATACTAAAATATTTATTTAAAAAATCAAGAACTCGAAATCAATTACCTGTATTATTCCCGTTTATATCTAGATGAGAGCGCATAGTGTCCCTTTTATGACCGACGAATAACTCTCATGGTATTCGTGTACATCTTGTATTCTATTCTTTTTACTGTTGTGGCCTATTCTTTTATCATCTGGATCGGTAACTATTAACCAGACAGACTCTTACGTTAGTATTCTTGAAATAAACAGTTCATTAGATTGTGCTGCATTTGGTTGTCAAAAGTAGATATTCTTCTGCGTTCGTGGGCTATGATAATTTAATTATGAAATATTGAATTAAAATCTTTATTTTTGATTCAAACAGTATTAGTCAGTAGTCTAGGTCTAGATCTTGACATTGAGTAAAATATATGTTGATTTTATCAGCAACAAATTCTTTTATAATTGTGGAAGTCAACAAGAAATGTTTCAAAATGTAAATAGGCATGATATTATTAAATAGAATACTTGTAGATTGAGTAAGAAAAAAAAGAAAATTTTTTTTAAATATAATTTAAAATTTTTTTCTTTTTTTTTTAAATTTTATTATTTGAGTAAAGTAAGAAGGAAAAGATAATGAAGGTATAGATTAGAAGGATAAGGAAAAGAAATATTTTATTTTAAATTCAATATTATTAAATAAACGCGAGGCCTTTCGAATTGTCTTTATCAAGCGATTTCTATCTAAAATGTATAACTATGTAGGAATGTGTAGCAATGCGACCGTTCGATATGTGGTAATGCATGTATTTTAATTGTACACTTTTTTTTCTAAACTACATAAATATTTAGTAGATCTATCTGTTCGTGTATAAGCCATTATTTTTGTTCTTGTATAGAATTTAAGTCCTTTTTACTGGAATTGATGAATAATAAATAAATAGAATGTATATGTATATGTAAGAGGTGAATAGTGAATTGATTAAATGAATATGTTGAATGAATGTGTAATGGCTACCCATGTCGCACAAACCGATCGAAAACCGTCGGTTAACCGCGGTTATTTAAGCCATTTTAGCGACTTTACAGCGTAAAAACCAACGGTTAACCGGAAAAGTCATCGATTATGTCGCGAGCTGGCGGTTATTTTTCCGGTTAACTGGGAGGTTAACTGCGGTTAACCGATTTTTATAAAAATTGACCGCGGTTAACGGACGGTTTTCCATCGGTTTGTGCGACATGGGTATATATGTCTTGATTTGATTGTTACTGCGAAGATCATATTACACGTGATTTTTGTTTTATAAATAAACGTATACCATTACATGAGTATAAAAAGAATTTTTGTTTTTTACTAGCATCCCACTCCTCCTCTTTTTCCTCTTTTTTTCTGAAAAATTGAAGTTAAAAGGAAAATACTTAATATTTGAGAAGTTTTTCACCATCATTCGCTTCTTATTGCTATTTTCTGTCGCGACAAGATGATAGGTCTATGAGGGGAGCCGGAAAGTTGAGCACGAGGAAAGATGAGCACGGAAAGATAAGCACGGAAAGTTAAGCACTGGAATAATGAGCACCGATAAAATGAGCACAGGAAAGTTGAGCACGAAAAGAAAACTTATAAAGATACAGTATATTGACTGATGAATAAATTTTATTTATATTCTATAAAAAAAAACAATTATAATGTAATATTATTAACGATTGAGTCGAGTTGAGTTAGAATATTTTGATGGGGATTTGAAATTAGATGTAATAGTCGTTTTTCAAAACGTTCATTCTTCTTCTTGCTTTTTGGTACTTGTCCAGATCTTATATGAACTCTTTGAATTTTGACAATTTTTTGTTTGAATTTGAATTTTATAGGGACAATTAATTACATTCTCTCTATTCATGTAGTGTGAATAATTAGATTATTATACAAAATTTGTACTTCTTATATTCATGGAGTTATGTTATATATGATCTAATCAACATAACTTGGTTTATACCTATTCATTATTTTCTCAATTTTTTTTGTTTCGTGCTTATCTTTCCTGTGCTCATTTTATCGGTGCTTATTATTCCAGTGCTTAACTTTCCGTGCTCATCTTTCCTTGTGCTCAACTTTCACCAATCCGTCTATGAGTATAATCAATGTAACTAGAGGTAAAACCTTCTATAATGCACATGTCCTTGTGCTGGACATCTCATGGTTTGACAAAGCAATTTTGCCAAAGTGAAGTTCTGTATTGTGAACACTAATTATGACTTAAAAGAAAATATCGGATGACTATAAAAGATCATACAACGTGATGACCCTTCTTTATTTATAAGAATCATGCCTAAATAAATTGGATAGTAATGGAAATTCAGTAAAAACGTAGCTGAAGCAAGGCTCATCGGAAACAACATTTATTTGTACAATATGTCGTACTGATGATCTAGACTGTTCTAACAAAGGCTGGAAAGCTGTTGCACATCACATGCAAAATGAAAAACACAAAAACAATTCATAGCTTACCTTTTCAATATCGAAAACAACATCTTCCACGTCGTCTACACATACCCAGGTGAAAGAAAACGGCCTGAAACGGCATACAAACGATGTAAAACGGACTGACGGATTACGGCGAAATAGGGTGAAAATTAATGCCGTTTTATGTCGTTTTATAGCAGTTTCAGGCCGTTTCCGATGGTCTTTCAGACGGCAGGATGATCCTCCTGGGTTACTATTCAACTAGTTGATCCTAATAAACCATTGTTATTCGGTGATCAAGTACCACAAGCTGAAATTTTATGGGCGCCAAAGTCTGTTCAAAATGCATTTATTTACAAAAAGTCTGATGACGTCGGTAAATTATTTCGTACTATGTTTCAGGACTCAAAAATTGCTCAGAAATTTTCGATTCAACATTCAAAAATGTCTTATGTTATTTCACATGGTCTTTGACCGTATTTTCGTGATCTGTTGATTAAAGATATTAAAAATTGTGAAGGATTTGTTCTTTGTTTCGATGAACAAACAAATAATCAAAACAAGAAACAACTTGTTTTATATTTTCGATATTGGAGTTCATAAACAGGACTCGTTGTTACCAGATATTATCGTACAATTTTGTTAGATCATGCTCAAGCAAATGTTGTTGTTGATGGTATTTTAGGTGCTTTTCGCACTGATGGTATCGATATCAGCAAGTTATTAATGTTCAGTCGAGATAATCCAAATGTCAATAAAACAGTTGATAAAATGATCAATGATGCTATGAAAAAAGTTAATGCTGAACTATTAAACATTGGTACTTGTAATTTACATGTTATTCATAATGGATTTAGAGCAGGTATGGACAGTGTCACTAAAATTAAACTATGTTTAACTGGGTGCGTTACTTTAAAGGGACAACGGAAACGATCTGGGGCGTTGAGAACTTCTGTATGAACATTTGGTCGTGGTTTCAAAAATCACCTGCTCGACAAGAAGATTTTGAGAATATTGCAGATGAATTAAATGATGTCATCGAAAAACCAATTTTATATTTTTCAAGTACACGATGGGTTTTACTCGGAAAAGTAATTGATCGAGTTCTTAGTAAGTAATAAAACACAGCACATCTCCCCTTCCAATGTTTTGCTCTTTTTAGAGCAATATCATATGTTTCGTGAATATTTTCTGGTTTATTTACCATCAAAACAACAGAAACAAATACAAAGCAATTCTTGTTATGATAATATTAAAGAAGTATAAATGTCGAACATATCAAAAATTCGATTAAATTTTATTTTATTTTTATGCCAATCCATCTTTGATCGATTTTTGACGTGGTTTCAGAAAGAAGGACCACTTGTTCATTTGCTTTATGATGAATTATGTGATTTATATCGTACTGTTTTATTATACTTTCTGTCACCTGAAAAACAACTAACAACAAAGAAGTTACAGATTGGTAGGTTGACACTCATCAGACTCCGATAAGATTACTGCATAAAAGAAAAATCCAACAATCGAAGATGTTATCTTCATATTTCTTGGTTTTCTTTACTTTAGGAGAGGAAGCACATCGACTTTTAGTGGACGTATCCGCATCAGATCGTGTGACATTGTTTCACGACGTCAAATTGATATATCATGCAATTGTTGACAACTTGAAAAAACATCTTCCATTGAAAAATACATTTTTAAAAGATTTACATGTACTTGATTCTGCATCGAGAACAAAACCAGATTCAGCTGATACAATGATTCGTGTTGGAAGAGCAATACCAAAACTATTAAGTGATGCTGAAATAGATCGTATTCGTCATGAATTTATGATGTATGCAGCTGAAACTATTGATCAATCTTGGTATATTAAAAATAAATATCACGATTCAGATGGTAATAATCATACAGAGTATCAACAAATTGATTATTATTGGAATAAGACATGATCATTGACGACTAGTTTTGGATTACCGAAGTATCCAACATTGTCTGAAATCGTTAAAAATATTCTCATTATATCACATGGAAATTCGGATGTTGAGCGTGACTTTAGTATTAATGAACATATTGTTGTCATTATCTTCTATTAATGACCTTCGTTCAACATGGGTTGCAATAAAATTTTATGGTGTAGGTTCACCACATCGAGTACCCATCAAGATTGATATGATTCGTGCTGTACAAAAATCGAAATCGGTTTATAATCAAGAACAGTTATCATTACATGCTTTGAAAAAAGTGGGTATTATTGATGCACAAGCTGTAAATGCGTTAATTGGAGCTGGTGATGAACAAGTTAAATTAATCTCAGATGAACTTTTCAAAATAACCGACGAATTATTAAAACTTCAAAGTAAAAAAGAAAATATGTTCTTTCTCACGTACAAAACAAAAAGCAAACGATGATAACAACAGCGAATGATCAGTTTTAAAAGAAATATTTTTATTTGTTTAAATTTAATAAGATTAATTGTAGTAATTTATGGTTTTGAAACTTTACTTTTTGGTGCCATTTTTTGCGATTTTCTTGTTTTGTATCATGTACATATGAAATGAAATAAAACTATATGTGAACTACTAAGGGGTTCTTTGACAAAACGCATCTTTCTAAGTAGACATTAAATAGAACCGATATGTTGTCGACTGCACGTCATTTTTGCTTCAGCACTAATATTTCTTGTAGGGTCGAAGGCTGAAAAGCAAATCCTCTTTTTCTACAATGCTTGGTGGGATGCCAGGCCTTTTATGAATAGAACTCATCAACCTTAATCATAGTAAAATATTTCCTTGGAATTCCATAGTCCTGATCCCGTACCGGCGGGCAGCAGACAGGATTTTGATTCTGATTTTGCCGGGTTCGGGACAGTTCCGCTGAAATCTATCGTTTTGACTTTGATAAATCATTTCCAAATTTTTTTCTTCCAAATTTTTTTCATAGGACCATACGGTCTAACACCAATCATAGTCATAAAATAAGCTGAGAAACGAAGAAGATTTAGTTTAATTTTAAATATTTTAATACAATCATGAATTCTAAGAGCTCGAATAGTTTCTCTCTATATCCTATATGACGTTGATATTGATACTGCATTTATGAATCAAAAAAGGACGTAGTTTATTTGTTCATTGATGATTTGTATGATCCAAGCTGGATTAAAGGTTTAACGACGGCAAAACTGGTGGAAACTAATCACTTGATGTAAAAAATAAAATCAGATGTTTAGTGTCCTTCCCAGGGCGAACAATACGGACCGTATAATGGGCGCAGTATTACGGACCGTACGATGCTTACATTTGCGTCGTATACAGTCAAGATTTCACAGTATATGGCTCCCCGTTTTACGGTGCTACAAACCAGTCTCGGTTTACGGCCGTATTTGACCCATAACTAACAGCATTACAGTCCGTAATACTGCGCCCATTAATACGGTCCGAAACGGAGTTCCGTTTTGATCGACCTGGGTTCTGTTAGTTTGTCTCTCTCTTCCTCAGTATCGAAAGATTCATTTTTCGAGTCTCGCTTCTTATTTCTTTATCTGAACGTAACAAATTTTAATTTAAATTAATCTAACTACTTTTGAGATCATTTTTTCTGAATCAGACAAAAGTAAATTTTTGAATGTCATCAAGCACTTCTGAAGTTAGAAGAAATAGGCTATTGTAAAACAGTCTGATCCGATTTTGGTAGTATCAGGTTTTCCAAATAATTTTCGCCAATTGTCGGCTCGTAAACCTAAGAATATTTTGGGAAGAGCGTAGCATCAAACTCGTATTACTATTACTTATGGCTGGTTGTTATCTTTCAGCTTCTTCAATTACTGCACTCAATGAGACAAAATAATGATCATATTGATCAAGTGATACTAATAAAATATGGTTTATTTTTCGTGATGATACTTTATTTCATATTGANTTACACTTCAAATAAATAGCCAAACTTATTCCACCCAACCCACCAAATCCAAACAGTTTGCGTTTGGTGCATGTCTAGTCCTTTTGAACACTGCATGATTGATTGAAAACTTCGCTTCATTATGTAATTATTAGATGAAAGCACAGAGAAATTTTCAAGAAACCCGAAAACAACAGTTACGGGACTAATTTAATTCAGAGCCATCTACATATGCGATAAGTTACTCACAATTTTGAGAAGAATAAGACAAGATTCCTGAGTACTTACACCGTTGGCGAACGTTCGTAGATGCACTAATCTAGAATTCTAGGCGTTAAGTTTGAATAAATTCTTCGTGTTATAATAAAAGTTGACACATCAAGTATAAATTGAAGACTTCGAAAAAAGCCTTCAACTTCTTAGTGTTTATACACAAAATACAGATATGTAGTTATGTTCAACTGTCTGATGAAAAGAACCTTAGTGCAGCATTCTCCAAAACCATGTTTGCTTAAATAATAAATTTTCCGTAAGCAATGAAACAGCGACACATGCAGGCGAGCGGTTAGTCGGTCGTTGGCGCCACTCACAGGTAGCCGTTGTTAAATTGAGAATCAATTCCACCACAAGATGCCTATAGCCTATTCGTAATAAAATCCAATATAAACATACGATACATCTACCACTATCTACATCATCGAATGATTCTCTTGAAAACATTTCCGACAAAGAATTTCTATCACGAAAATGGGACGATCTAAACAACTCCTAATGCATTATAAACTTGCTTGAACTATGAAAGATTATTAAGTATTTAATATTCCATCCAGCGACAGCCGTTATCTTATTTGAATCAACTATATTTATTTGTTTAGGATCATAATCACTAATAACGTCGTTGTGGTGCTTCTAAATGCTTTCGAAATACCAGTCACCCGTCAGTTGCTGGTCCCTTAGTTTTACTTTTTCAAAAGCTCATGTGTTCATTCTGTGCAACCCTCTTTGTTTATTAAAAGAATAACAAAATGTTTTTGAAAAACTGCACTTCAAATCGAATAACTCCGCCTCAAAAACATTCGGTCAGCCCTTATAACAAACTATTCTTTTCCTAAAAAAGTCTTTCTCTCCCCTAAAAAAAAGCAAAAGTAGAGGGAATAACGGAACATTTTCAACCTGAACAACTAAAAGTTTATTTTAGATTTTGCAGATGATAGAATGCCTGGAAGTAATTTGATGATTTATTTTATAGATACATTTCATTATTAAATCTAAAATAGGTCTTTTTCCTTATGGTGCTTCAACACAAGAAGAAACAATTTGTTATAATTCGAATACATATCGAGCTTTACTTGATTTTAAATATCAAATGTTTGATGGAGGTTTTATGATTCCAGAATTTGGTTGTTTATATATTAAAAATGTGAAATTTTATCAATTAGTTAATCCTAATGTTAATAAAAATGTCGATATAATTGATGCTGCATGTTATGATTTAACAGAAGTACATGGATTACATATTAAAAGTAAAGAAGATAAAGATCTCGAAAGTTGTACGAAAAACAAATTTGAAACAATAATTGCTTTTGAACAAGCTAATAGTAATGATAATGGAGAAAATAGTTCCTTGATTTTAGGCTCAATCGGATGTGGAGCTTTTCAAAAGGATATTAAAACTATTACTGAATTATGGGAGAACATTTTATCAAGCCCATTAAATGAAACTTTAAAAACTAAACAGCATCGTGCTTTTGAAGAAATTTGGCTTCGTAGTGGAAAAATGATAAATTAGAAACTTTTATATTTTATGTTTATCATTTTCGTTGACTTGATAACGTTTTTCAATGCTTTTAAATTTATATAACGTATTAATAAATTTAATCAAATCGTCTTGTATTTCAAATATTTATTCGTTTATTTTCTTATTTTTGATTTTATTGGGGCCTTCGAAACATCCATGTCTGAAAGTAGTAACCAGAAAATTTTAGCTTTTAATATCGTTCCTTCGAAAAGTTACATGGGCACAAAGTTGAGCACTGTCTTATTTCTTCGAGAAAAGAAGCAGTAAAAATTGCTCGTTCTAGTTATGCCTGTTGGTGTTTCAATAGACCAAACAAATATTTAAAAGAATACACTACAAGATAGGTGATTCTGAGCTGAAAAGGGATTGATATTTAAATTATTGTATATCACTTACCTTTTTGGGTTATTCTGTACAACAAGTATGAGCACTGACAGAATTTTTCAATGTTTCACGACTACTTTTATGCAGTATATTATATCTCATCTCTTCAATTTAAGAGATTCATGTTAAATTTTGATTCTGCACAAAAACATAAGAAATATTCTAAAATGAAGAGTAATACTGGGTCCGAAAAATGTCTAACATTGCTTTTCACCTAGTGAAAAGCATACCCTATTGAAAAACAATCTTTGAAGCTGTCTTACTGTCTTTCACTCATGAAAATTTTAGTCTCAGAGAAACTAGAACTTCATCCTGAAAATAATGGTAGAGATAGCTCTTTCGAAAACGAAAAAAGATTTCGATCCCTCTTCGTGACTGAGAGATAAGTACAGGAATAACGAAAAATTTTGAAAGAAAAAGTTTTTTCTCATAATTCAATAGTAATCGTCTCAAACAATAAAAGGTTGAAAATCTGATCACAACTGTATATTGTAACCCTAACAAAATTGATTATTTTACGGTAGAGTTCAGTTCTTGATGTCTACCTGCAACGCATTTAGCTCAAAGTGTAGTATGAAAGTAGACTACTTATCGTCATATATAAAGATAAATGTTACGGTTACAATATACGAATGTGATCAGATTTTCAATCTTTATTGTTTGAAGCGATTACTGTTGAATTGTGAGAAAAAAAGTTCTTTTCGGAGTCGGGTCTGGTTTCGGAATCAAAAATGCGACTCCACTGATTACTAGTACTAAAAGTTTTTTTTCGGTCGTGCATGTCGGCGCACACTTCTATTCATTGCTACTTCTTACCCATTTCCGTTATCTTTGTGCAGAAAACTTGAAGTTCATATAGTTTTCGAAGATCTTATGATCAAAGTGAGAACTAATCAGAAGCATCTGAGACTTGTAAAATTTCATAAAGTAAATCTTTGATAATAGAAAGCGTTTATTTTCATTGAAAATGCATTAGCAGCGATAGGAAGCTTTTTTTGTTTAAAGAAATTTTATTGAGAACTTTAGTTTTTCCATACCCAGGTGAATGAATCCCATAACGAATTCGATCGGATCCGATTCTAGGAATGATTCTCCTGGGGATATGCGTGAGAGTATGTGTGAGCTAGAACAGACCTGTAAGTGAGTTTGGTTGCAGAAATACTTTGTTTGTGTCTGCTGAGTACAAAAGGAAAAGTGAGTACTTCTTGAAGTAAATCATATTTTTTGCACGATTATCTTCATCAAAATGCTAACCATTCCATGGATAATGAAGTCCTCTATCCAACACAAGCTGTAGAGTAAATCAGAACTGAGAATACTCGAATATCGTACTAGCTTTACTTGTGTGTTTTTTCCTGTTTAAATTCACTGCTAGCGTGTTTATCATCTGCAATGTTTTACTTTCGATAAGTGTGCAGTTGAGACTTGATCAAATAAACTAGAAAAAAATAAGGAAGATAAGAACAGTAAAATGTTGATATCTTCCAAAAGCAGCATACGAGTTACTGAAGAAAATAACAAACAATCTCTCAATATGTAAAACTTGTTAAAGTCGACACAAAAAGTCTCATTGAAAATTTTACGACTATTGTTGGTTGACACAATTTGACTGTGGTGAGTGATTTATCCAGATTATCGATACAGTTTATCTAATATTTGGATATAAGGAATATCTTACGCTCTTATTAGATGATCATCTTTCTTTATGGCATGGTGTTGTGTGTAATTTACAGGATTACTTAGCTATTTTTTGCAAGCGTGAGTCTTTTTATATAAACGATATGATAATTTTGAGACTCCTTGAAGAGATCAATCGCTTTTTCTTAGCTACATCTTGGAATATAAAGAATCGCCAATTCTTCGAAATTATGTGACACCGAGTTGAACACGTATTCCATCAGGATAGCTTTACTATTTAACAGTGATAGTGATTACCGATCTCTTTTGCATACGACAAGGAGATCTATCCGATCATTTAAATAGAAGTTCGAAAACATAAACGCATGCTTTGTCGAAATAGTTGATATCTTTCCTCCAATGAACTGCTCTTAGAATTTGATGTATTCAAAAAGAAATAGATCAATGTTGCAATGAAATACACGTAGCTATGTACGGAGATTTTATTCGTTAGTCAATATTTGATAAAATAATTTTTGTAAGATTTCGATCGCAAATGTTTCTATAATCAACGGTATTATTTTCGTCAGTGTATGTTCTGTAATATTTTTCTTTGAAAGATTTTTTACTACCTAGTGGAATATAACCAGTATCATAATTAAAGTAATTATTATCCTGACGGGCAGCCACATACGAATTCCTCACTTTGTCTTTCATGTTCCTTTATTCCAGCAGAGAAAACACAATTTTAGTAAAATAGATTTTCATATACTTTACATTGAACGATCTTTTATTCTCTATTATCTGTTGTATTACGATTATCAAATTTTCCATGATAGTCCTTGAACTTTTCTCGCGGTTATTACAACAAACTCTGCAGATATAAAATAATTTCACATATATTCTAATCAGTTCATTATAAATGAATCCATGGGCGAAGAAATAAATAAATAACTTAGCACTAATCAACACAATGCAAGTGTTGACTATCAGTGCCTTGCATGGAATATCATAAATAAAGACTAACAAGAACTAGAAATTTGTAAGAGACATTTGATTGATTAGATTAGTATAGTGTAGCTGAACGGTATGTGTGGGAAAATGTTTGATGTTTAGAAAACTGTGAAATGTTTTTTCTGAATTCTGAAAAATCAACGAATTGTAGCACAGTTATTCAGCGACAGTAGCATATACTATGGAAAAACTGCATAATGACTGTCTGTTGCCATTTGAATATTAATTATATTATGACACTGAGTTCCCTATTCAAAAACGTATGCATAGTCGTTTTTGATATATTGAACAGCTTGATAGTTCCCGTTAATATGATGATTGATATTAAATTGGCAAACAACGATCATCACGACCATGAATCACGTTATATAATCGTAAGTAAGAAACAGTCAAGAAATATACATAAGTGAGAGGTAATTGAGTTCGAAAAAGTATTCTTGGAAAATAAAATCACTATTTTACCATTTCAATAGGCTCCAGTCCGCAACTTCAAGACAAATATACTAAACTAAGGTTGTGGTTGCTAATCTTTTTTTTATCGTTATTGTAATTTTTATTCAATACGAGTTCATGTTCTAAAAGAAAAATTCCACGCGCTGTAGTCTCCTTGTTTGTACAACATGGCTAACAGATATGAATAATTCTGATTCTCAAGTGTTACCATTCATGAAAAAGATATTTCTGATTACTTTTTTTTAAACTCATCATTCAAAACTAAATGCATATATATGTGAGAAAGTATATAATGCCATGTAGTCACTATATATGAGCTGAAGTTTTTGTATAGGAAATCTAGTTGCTGAACGAATTCGGTCAGTTTAAGAGTAGATATTCTATTCGAATTTTTCGATGATGTTATTATTTATGCTGTGCATCGTAAAAAAGAGATGGCATTACGCAGAATGTGTCATCAGTTTAATTACTAGATACTTGAAGTTGGTGAAGAAGTAATTTCTTTTTGTTTTCAATTTGATCATTTCATATTTTCAGATGATATCAAGTAGTTTCTACGAATATATCGATAGAGAGAGCATTGATTCAGATCTTATATGCTCACTTTGCGATAATCCTTTTATTGATCCAATTGTGACTCAATGTGGCGATACTTATTGTCGTCTATGTATTGAAAAAGATATGGGAAATGGTTCTCATTGCCCATCGTAGTCGTGTAATCAATTATTGAGTACTGACCATTTGACCCCTCCGTCGCGTCTTGTCGTCTCAATGCTTGATAGACTTAAAGTCCGATGCCAGCTTTGTGAGAAATCAAATATAAATAGAGGAACCTTTGATGAACATATAAAGACAAGCTGCCCTGAATGCCTAATAGATTGTCCAGGGAAGAATATTGGATGCCAATGGTTTGGATCGAGAAACGAACATGATGAACACATGAAAACGTGTTTATTCGAAAAATTAGGACGAATGGTCGATATCTTGTATAAGGTTATTGAAAACCAAAGTTTGGATATAGAAAAGCTCCAAAAAGAAACACAACAGCAAACGACAGAAATC